GTGGCAGCTGGCCTGTCTCGGCCCTTGGCGGCCCTCGAGCGCCTGCTGCAGCGCTTCAGAGCCCCCCCGAAACAGGTGAGGCTGCAAACGGAGCAGCGGGGACGCAGCCATCCAGCTGTCCCGCTCGTCAAGTCCACCCCCACCTGAAACGGGCCCCAAGGAGGCTTTTCTCCGTGAACGGGACCATCCGCCCCCAACTACGGAGCCCTCAATTGCCCCGGCACCTTGACAAGCGCGCCTTTTTATACGCGCTTTAATGGAAAGCATCTGCTGGCTGACAGGTCTGACCCACTCTTGTCACTACCAGTAACGTCTATCGTTCATATCAATGAAGGGCCATCATCGCTATTTTTCTTCCAATTGGTTAACTTTGGATATAGCCGCTTTCACTGTTTCCCCCTTGGTCATTTTCCTTTGTTCTTTTTAGGGGACTTTCACACTGCACTCCAGGAAACATTTTTCAATAGGAAAATGTGATTGCAAAACCACCACAATTGCCAGAGTGCTATCCACACGTTGTAACCTTTTAAAATAATTGATTATATTTCAAATGGAAAGTTACTGCTTTTATTGTTTGTGAAGGGTCGCGGAGGTAGCCTTCCATCCCATGACAGAGGATCTGGGTGGTTACAGACTAGAGTTTTGTCTAGTGGATGAAGAAAGGGTGGCTGGGTCTTATGACTTCTGTTCAGAGTTCTAATCTCAGCATGATGACTAAATTCACTTTGTGACCATGAAAGAGTCATTTAACTTGCCTGTAGCTCAGTTTGCCCATTTATAAAATGGTATGATAGCGGCTTATCTCTCAGAATTATTGAAAGGCTGAGTATTTGTAAAGCCTTTCTAGGTCCTGAGTAGAATGGTTTTATAGACATGCTAAATATTATTTTGTCATAAAGCTGCAGCAAGTACACAAGGAATTTGAAATTAAGTTTTAAACACCACAGTCCTGCTTAGCTCCCACTCCCTGGCAGTTTTCAAAAAGGGATTGCTAAAATGTCCCTTTGTCCCATAGCCTGTTCCACAACAGCAGGGAAGTTGACAACCTCCCTGTACTAGAAAGTAGAGATGTTAGCATGTATTCATTTACACAGTTAACCGATAAGCGTGGGCTCATTGGTTAATCCCAACTGGTTACATGCACCTCCTCCTTTGCTGCCTCTGATCTAGAGGCAGCAAAGGCAGAGAAGGCAGGAGTCAGTGCCCCTGGGAGATGGCTTTTAAACCGTCTCTTTGTGCATGCCAGTTCCCTTGAAGCTGCTTGCCCTCCTACCCTCCACTGCCTCACGCTGAGGTAGCAGCACAAGGGGGCAGGTGGAAGCAGGTACTTGGTGGGAACCAGCTAAAAAAGCTTGTCCCCCATGAACACCACCTCCAGTGGAGTCACCTGTCCCCCAGTGCTGCTGCCTACCCTCTTACCCCTGATGCTGCCTCTGATAGAGAGGCAGCAGCGTGGGAGAGGGGGAACAGGCAGGAGTTGGTACATGTGGGAGCTTGTGGGAGCCAGCTTCCAGTATGTACTGGTTCCCTCAGAGCTGCCTGCCCCCCATGCTGCTGCCTTTCTATCAGAGGCAGCAGGGGGCAAAAAGGGTAGGTGGAAGCCAATGCTCGTGGAGAGCAGGCCTAAAAGATGACTCCCCAAGAGCACCAGCTCCTCCTGTTCCCTGTGTATAAACATGTAACTGCTAAAATGTTCAGCAGTTACACATTTACACAAATACACATTTTTAAAAATCCCTACCATAAAAGGTGACTGCACTTCAGTGTCTATGGTATGGAAGTATGGTGTGCATTAAAGTGAAATATATTACATGTCTTAGATAGACAGAGACATGCAGACTTTCCTTATTAGAAGTTCTTTTCAAGACTGAGAAATCCTACTTCTGTGTTATCTACCCATATGCCTCTTTCTCAGCATCTCTGGTGGGTTACACGCATCCCGTATCTGGGTTTCGAGGACCTAGTGGTGTGGCTGCCAAGGATGGTGAATCAGATTCATCTGTCCTGGCTGGATGGACAAGACATCTTGGAAGATCCCTAGAAATTCTTGCATCTGGTTCCATTGTATGGAGCTGAGGCCCTCCCCCAACTCTGCTGGTTTTGGGTCTAGAGGTTCACCTGAGGTTTTGATGTTCATACCCTGATCTATCAAGATTTCTTTGGGTATCCCCACCCTATCAAATACCTTCACCAACTCGTTTGCTATATTCTTCGCGATTGCTACTCAAAGTGGCACAGCTTCCGGATACCAGGTTGCAGAAGCTACTATCACCAGGATGAATCGGTTCCCTGTCTTGCTCTTCACTACTGGTCCAACAAAGTCCATCCCAACACACTCAAATGGTACACCAATGACTGGTAGAGGTATTGGGGGGAGGGAGGCTGGGGTACACCTTAGGCCCAGCTCGCTGGCATTCTGGGCATGAAGCACAATAGTCTCGGACTTCTTGGTGTTTACCAGGCCAAAAGAACCAGCGTGCCACTTGCTGGAGGGGTCTTTTCCCTACCTAGGTGATTGACCCAGAGGGTGACATGTGCCAAATGTAGGAGGTTCCAGCATAGCCTCCGAGTGACTAGTAACTGATATATCACCTCCCGTATCTGAGCGTTTGCTAACACCTGATAGAGTTGGTCTTTCTGGATCTCAAAGCGGTGGCCCCTGTGGGTATCTTGCCTCCTTTCTTTCTTCTGGGACATGGACCTTAGCCTGCTCCCATGCCCGGCCCAGGGCTTGGTCTTCCCTTTGTTCTCTCAGGAAGTCTACGTCCCTCTCCAGCGCTACCTGGATGTCCTCCTCTGGCTTGTCTTCACCTGGATCATGGACCCTGGATGATTAGAGGGACCTTCTTGAGGGTCTGTCTCCATGGGAAGCCCCAGCGTCCTCTCTCCTGTAGCCCTAGATTGCCGCTTTCTCATAGGGCAATAGTCACACTCCCTCTAGACCTTTCGAAACATGGGCCAATCCCATGGTGGGTAGGTCAGCTGGGGTGCCACACCCACCAAGAGGAACTCCCTTTGGCCCCGTACCTTGAAGTTTACATGGGCAGTCGGGTAGGGATGCACGTCTCCGTGGATACATTGGAGACTGAGCGCCTGCCCAGCTAGCTGAAGGTCCGGCACCAGGCCTTCCCAAATAATAATTTGGCTGCAACTGGAGTCCATCAGAGTGGTGGCCTTCACACCTTCCACTACCACAGGCATCACCAGTTTTCCAGGTTGGGGTTCCCGTACCCGATAGCAGGCCACCCAGACCAGTCCATAGTTGCAATCCATATAGAGAGAGACAGTATTTACAGAAGTGAGCTCCTTGACCGCACTCCCGACAACAGTCCCAGGCACCTGTGGATCAGGAATCATCCTTGGGTGGATTTCACTCCCCTTGTGGAAGACCTTTCCATGAGCTGTTCTGGGTCACAGTTCTTTGGGGTTCTGTCCTGGGAGTCTTGACCTTCTGGGATGGTACGTGCATGGTGATCCCAATGGCTCCATCCTCCATGGTTTCCCTCTCCCTGGACTCTCTTGTCTCCTGAGGTTCTCTGTCTGCACAGGACGGGCTCCATTTTCTTTTGTGGCTCGGTAATCCTTTATTAGTCTTACTGCCACTGTCAGTGTCGTTGGCCGTTGCTATTGCCCCCACTCGTTGGTTCCTGGAAATAGTACCTGTACGAATTACTCCAAGGCCACTATCTCCGCAACTCGGGGACCGGTTAAGCCCACCAGGTTCAGCCACTTCCAGCAGTGGTCCCTGATTCTTTGGGCAATAGCCCATAGTCATCCCTCAGCAGAATACCCTGCTTTATGCAGAGTCTGCCGGTAAGTCTCTGGGCTGATGCCGGTTCTGTCTAAAATGGCCACCTTCCCCTGTGGAGTCCCAATTGCGATATGCAGTCTGTACTGGTCCCATTAGGGAAGGGGCCAGTATTGTAGCCTGGTGTTGTTGGAGCCAGTGAGCGGCCATAGCAACCCACTCGAAGATTACTAAAAATGCCTTGGGGTCATCCCCTGGCCCCATCTTCGTTAGCTGAATGGGCAGTCCTAGTCCAGTTTCTCCACTCTCTGCCCCTGTGGCCAGGGTGCTTGGCTATAGCAGCATAGCTATCTGTTGAAGCAGCCCTTCCTGCTGGCTCTGGTGCTATGTGATCAGCTCATGCAGCAGCTGTTATTGCTGCTCCTGCTGTTGCACCAACAACAGCTGGTGCTGGTGGGTTGGCTGCTGTATCAGCTGCACCTGTTGCTGTTGGTATGAGCTGCTTGCTGCTGGTGATTTTCCACCATCTATGGAGGTGGAGAAATTCCTACAATCTGTGCACCAGACTACAGGGACAAAAGGGGGACTCCCTGGCCCCACTCTCTCTACCTGGATCTCTCAGCAGGTTCTGGATGTTGCCCACATTCTCCACCATGTGTGGCAGAGTACACACACCTGTGTTCAGGTTTCACATACTCAGGGGTGTGGCTGATGCCTGGTTGGCTACCGGATTGCTGGTGATCTCTTACAGTCTATATAAGCCAGTATTGGTCTAAAACAGCATGGCTTAAAGCCTTCAGTCAATAAGGTTCTGGAGCTCCTGGTAAAGGTCCTTCTCCTTCAGCGGCCAGTCCAGACTGAGCTGCTCTACTGCCCTTTGTGCTGCCCCAGCATTTGGAGCATTCCCAGTCTGGGCAAAGGGGCGAGGACTTCCTCCACCCACGGTGTTTTAACCCTACCTGATTCAGTGCAGGGTATCTTTTCATCATTTTTGTTTATTCAGCTTAAGCCATCTTCCTCTTCCACCTATTTTCTCCTGCTTGAGTCCTTCCTCTCCTGGCTGCCCACCCACCTGGGATCTTGTTAATTTTGTTTAAAAGAAAATGGGCAGGAATTCTCCCTCTCCATCGTTCCTCCTGACCATCTAAGATTTTGTTTCCTGAACCTTGTTCCCTATTCTGAGATCGCCAATCTTCTATCCACATCAAACCCACTGACCATATTTCCTGACACCTGCAACTCTCCATTTTTATCCCTCCCTAATTCATGTCCTGTCACTTATGAATCACTTTCTTTTTTCCGTATATTTGAATATGCCATTTCTCCT